GTAGAGAATTTCCAAAACACATCCTTCCACTAAAACACTGATTAAAGTAGCAAAAGCCATCATAATCAACTTTCTGGACTCTGGAATTTAATAAAAACCTTACCATAACTAGGGTAGTATTTCAAGAAAGAAGTTGTTAAATTTGGCAAGAGTTTTTGGCAATTTTACTGAACCAGCTACTATCCACCAATGAAGCCTTGGGGAAAATGGTCCACATTCCTAGGGTTTCTTGCTCGTGCCTGAGAGAGCAATATGAACCTTGTCCTTAAGAAATTGTGATTGTATGTTTCAACTGGCCAATATATATGTATTGAATTTTTGCATGAAGAGGGGTTAGTTCAGAGGGTTGTCTTTGTTTTCCTCCCCAACCCTGGAATTTTTTCAGAGTTGGAGGAGCTTCTCCAGTATTGTTTGCCACATGCCAAGCAAGATATTTGAGCAGGTAGATGACAAAATCAATGAACTTGAAGATATATCAAAGAATCAATGAACTTGAAGATATATCAATTAAAAACATCGAGCCAGTGGAGCAGCAAGTAGAAAGAATGAAGAGCAATGAACTATACCTCAGAGATTTGTAAGGCTCGATACTTACAGATACATGATAGGAATCCCAAAATAAAAAGAAGAAAGGGACACAAAGTACATTTGAAGAAATAATGGCTCTAAACTACCAATATTTGATGAAATAGTTAAATCTACACATCCAAGAAACTCAAAGATACTAACTGTATCTTTAAGAATAACTACTAAGAAAATAACTAAAAAGTAAACACAAAAGGAAATGAGAAGGGAATCAAAATTTTATACTATGAATTAAATGCAAAAAAGGCAGTAATGAAGGAAATGGGGAACAAAGCATGTATAAAATATACAGAAAACAAATATCAAAATAGCAGAAGTCCAGCAATTACTATTTGAAGTATGTGAAAGAGGGAAATGAGAGATAACTATATCATGTTTGGATATATTGGTGTTTGAAGGTTTTGTTGGATCAACAGGAGAAATCTAGACAGTATATGGAGCTGAGCACTGAGAGCTGGAGATACAGAATTGGGAGTCATCTATATTGATTCAAGGTTCCCAACACTGACTGCACAGTAGAACCACCAGAGGAGCTTTAAAAAAATAGCCATATCTGGGTCACCCATCCTTCTTATAATGACATTTTACAATAGCGCCCCAAGTGAATCTAATGTGCATCAAAAACAGAGTACCACAATTATAAATTGTAATTGGAGCTATTAGGAATAGATGTGGTTATCAGAGAGGATGCAAAGAGATTATGGGTACTAGAGAGAAATTTTCTACTTAGGATGGAGAAGGATCTAGATCTCTACTGTCGGGTACATTAGCCACTAGCCATATGTGGCTATTTAAGTTTAAGTGAATTAAAATAAAATAAAATGAGTTCCTTAGTTGCACCAGCCACATTTTAAACATTTAATAACCACATGTGGCTCATGGCTAGCATGTTGGATAGTATAGATGTAGAACATTTTATCACTGTAGAAAGTTCTGTTGGACAGTTCTGGATGGCTGGATGATATCTCTAAAATATCTATAATACAGGTGACTCTTCCAATTATATGGAAAAAGTTTGTAATATCTATGCTTAAATTTGGACACTTCATTTGCATAATGTATTTTTATGACAATTGACATGTAGTGATTTTATTGTTCTAGCTCTTCTACTCTCTAATGTCCAGGGGAGTTCTGTAGAACCACTGGCAGATGAATTAGATCAATACTTTTTATTTTCACTAGGGTGAAGACATGAGTGAAAAACGTATGTTTTCTTCTTTTAAGTCACTTAACTGCACAGGAGCGTTTAAATCCATTGATCAATATTCGATATCACTTTGCATTATGTTACTTGAAGTAGTCAAGGGAAAGGCAGAATGAAATGACACTGATTATAGCAAATAATAGGCAGTGTAATTGGTTAAAAGTCCTATATCTGACTATTAGTCTGAGAGTGGCTTTCAACCAAGTTCTCACAGGTCATGAGAAATGAGTGTCCTTTGGAATCCATAGGAGCTTCTTGGCAAAAGCACTGTAAGTGGGGCAGAGGAACTCCTTGTGTAAAAAAAATGTGATAACAATTAGGAAATGCCGTGAAGGTACATGAGATTCTTCTTTGTACTACTTTTTGCAACATTTTTATGTCTATGAAATTATTTCAAAATAAGAGTTACAAAAATTTCTTAAACCATGAAATCATGAATACACTCTCATAAAAATAAGATCATCTGGTTTAAATTACATCATTCCATTCTCCCCTATCCATGAATTCTTTATAACTTTTTAAAAAAGCTTAATTGGTGAATTATAGTTATACATAAAGATGAAATTCATTGTGATATGTTAATACATGCACATGATACACTTTGGTTGATTTCATTCTGCTATTCTCCCTCTTTTTGTCTCTCCTCATTTCACTGTTCTCCCTTCTGTTTTCATGAGGTCCCCCTTTTAAGAATTCATTATTTCTCTCTAGTTTCCACGTATAAGAGAAAACATTTGATCCTTGACTTTCTGCATCTGGCCCATTCTTAAATGATTCGATACATATATTCCTATCAGTTTTCTTCACTTAATTTTTGTAGGAATTTCCCACATATAATTATCCATACAACACTCTTTGCGTTTCTCACCACAAATTTCCCTTTTGGGGGAAATGGCTCTGAGGTGAAATTGAGACAATATACCTCATATTAATATATGCTAACATATCATGTTAAATGGCCACATGATATTTCATTAGATCAGGTCAGGTCAGGTCAGGTATGCTATAATACTGTGTCTAGCTAGTCTCCAGTTTGGAGATATTTAAGGTTTTCTTCCATTTATTTACATTACTGTATGTGAGCCTGCAATGGAAATTTTGTACATAAAGATCTTTACATACATTCATGGTTATTCACCCAATATAGTTTGCCAGAAGTCATATTACTGGGTCAAAACTCAGGAGTGTTTTTAAAGCTCTCAACACATAACAAATAATGAAGAGATCAGTGTCTTGAGTGTGCCTGGCATTAAATTAATTTACTTCAAGTGGCTTTCTAAGGGGAAAGAACATCAGAAATCCCAGGAAACAGAAGTGAACCTCAGTTTTTCTCATGTGCAATGTATGATCAATGATTCAAAGTTCCTTCTTTCTTATATATCCTAAGATTCTCTGCTTCTGTAAGAAATGGAAAAAATGTTCTAAGCATGTTTGTTCAAGTCTGTAATTCCCACCAACTCAGGAGGCTGAGGCAGAGGGGTCAAAAGTTTGAGGCCTGCTTTACCAAGTTAGTGAGACTCTGCCTCAATAAAAAATAAATAAGGCTGGGGACTTATCTTTGTGATAAAATGCCCCAGGATTTAATCCCCAGTAAAAAAAAAATGGAAAATGTATCAAGGGTGAAGTACATTTAAGATTTTCCAATCAATGTTATTTTCATCTTGTGAAGAAGAAAGATTGGGGAACACTTCAACCAATGGCCTGCCATTTTCTTTAGTAATAGAGAATCATCAAGGGCTATAGGAAAATTTGCTCATCCCTCTGTTACTTTGTATAAATAGCTTTGTTAAATAGCAATTCTTACCTGTTCATTTGTTCAATTTCGAAAAAATAAAAAAGCAAGGACAAGATCAGTGCCTTGAGTGTATCTGACACTAAATTCTTCTTCTTCTTCTTCTTTTTTTTTTTTTTCTGCAGTATGGGGATTAAACCCAGAGTTCTTTACCACTGAGCTACAACCCATGGCCCTTTTAATTTATTTCATTTTATTTTATTTTGAGACAGGCTCTTGCTAAGTCGCTGAGGCTGGCCTTGAACTTGCCATCCTCCTGCCTCAGCCTCCCATGTAGCTTGAATAACGGGCATAGGCTACTATACCCAGTCACTAAATTAAATTGTAAAGATCAAGAGTACCTAGAGTTATTGAGAGTGGAAATTAGGAAAGTATTTGGAAGAGATAGAATCTGAGCTGAAATTTAAGGCTGGGTAGGATTCAGATAGGCAGAGGTGGGAGCTGAGAGGATATTTCTCTTTCATGTGGGGTGGGGGTAGAAGTCAAGGGTGGGAATTGGGAAAGTCCAGGCAATATTTGAAAATAAAAGAATGTACGAAAAGGTAAACTGCATCCACTCACTTAGCAACATTGAAGATCTAGTTGAGAAGCTAGAACTTGATCTTATAGATACTGGGGACTTTCTATAGGTTCTTAGAGAAGACAAGATTAAGAAAGTTGTGTGTTATAAAGTGACTCCTATGGTTGTGCCAATGGTGAACTAGAGTAAGAAATAATGTGTTTTTTGTATTTTTAACCATAAATGAATGGAATCTCATGTAGAATGCTAATAGAAGGGAGAGAAGGAAAATTTTAAGAGTTATTTCAAGGGAAGAACAATAGGAATTGATAATGGGTATACCACAGGAGACGAGACACAGGGAGAACCTCAAGATGATATTCAAGTTTAAGCCTCAGTGACTGGGGAAGTGATAGTGCTGTTTTCTGTGTGACTGAGAAAGGCCATTCATTAGGCTGGTTACTAGAGCCCTAAAATTTTCAGGGTAAACTGAGTTTCTGTCAAAGAGGCTTTATTTCTTTTTGATTTCCATTATTATTTCAAAGATGCTTATTTTGCCTTTTTGGTCTTCATTTGGCAGTGGCTTTTAATGTTTTAACTTTGTTTCTTTGTCCCAGAAGGTTCTGCCAAGTAATGATCTTAAATGCTTAAATGCACTCAAGAAGTTCTGCTGAGTATTCCCTTATAATGCAATCACCTTCAATGTGATTGTTTTGTAACTTTCTCATTTTGCATATTGGGTTCTGTAAAACCAGGTCATCCTTGTTATTACCCAGAGAATTGTACTTTTTGTACAAGGTCACATTTCAAATCTGGTTAATTTTCTACTGTTTTGCCTTCCCCAACATATAACATTTGTACTTGAAATGTTACAACAGCACAGCTTAAAAAAACTGAAAAATGAAAATAATGGTACATACCTCTATGTATAAAATGGTGCAATTAAAGAATAGTTTTCTGGGAATTAGCAGACTTGATTCTAGTCTCAACTCTGCCACTAATTCAAAGCATGAAATCAAGCAAGACACATTATCTCTTCTTTATGTCTTCATTTCCTTTTCTGTAAATCAAGGGGATAAGCAAAGGTGATTTCTAAAATCAATGTCAGAACCCAAGTCAACTATTTTTTTAACATTATAAATGTTTGCAAAGTATTAGCAACATTTATAGTACTTAGAGACCATTGAATTAGGTACAGCACCACATGAGGGACACTTTTATCAGCTATTTGTTTACTACAAGGAGACAAACAGGATGAATCAGCCTAAAAGACATGAAGTTTGAGGCTCAGTTCTCAGTTTTTATAGGTGATAATCCAGAAAGAATCTCCATTTTCTTTCACTCTGAGGTCAGTCTGACATTATAACTCTGTACTCCAAAGGTAGAACAGAACAAGATCCAAAGATGGGGTTGCTCTGACTCTTTGAGTTCTGTGATTGTAGCCTCTTGAGTGCTGATTTCCAGAAATAGCAGTCATTCTGCTCAGAGCCATCTTAATGAATCACTGTGATCTTTGTGATTTTCATCATAAGGGGAACCAGCTCAGGATCTTTCTTCTAATAGAGACTGTGATGAATATGTTCTTCAAAGAGACAATGTCCCTCCATTGTGTCAATTTCATGAATTAAGATTACACCCAGAGTACATCTATTGCCTATAATGATCCCCTGTGGCTCTGCCATTCATAACAACTTCAGTACTTCTCAAATGTGGATGGCAGATTACTTGGAATTCAGGATGCTCTTGTGGCTTACCTGAAATATTCCCGCAGGCTTAATCCAAATTTTAAGCATTAGTTTCTCAATATGCACTGAATCCCCAATAAATGGAGGGGCATATGAACACATACAACAGCCTGCTCAACAGGCCTTTCACCTTCTGGCTCTTCCTCCTCCTCCTCTGATGTTTTTTTTCACAACTTCCTATCCCATCCACACCTTGTTCTCTGGATTAAATAGTGATGTAAACTGTGTTCCTCTTGGCTGCAAACTTTGGCTTGTTTTCAGAGTTGTTGTTTTTTTTTTTTTTTTTGCCTCCCATTCTCCCTTGGTTACAGTTGTCCTGTTTTGCATCTCCTGTCCTAACTGCCCCCGCCCCCACATTCCCTTCTGGGTAACTGGCCCTTCGAGGTGAGATTGGGATAGTATGTTTTATACCGTGGTATGGCTACAGGAAATTTTTACCAGTAGTTTGAAGTGTAAGTACAAATATACAACCATGAACAAAAGCAGGCCATGATGACACCAAAGATGTCTGCTAGCAGTCACAAAAGGATTAAGAGAAGTTTGTGACTAAAGAAACGGAAATAGATAAAATTCTTCCCATTAACTAAAATTGTCCATATAAATAAAAAATGTCTTGCACAGATTGATTTTTCTGGCAGAACACCTTGATACTACCTGAATACCACCAGTGATTTGTGGAGCCATATTTTGACAATTTTCAGTGACTTGGTCCTTTTAAAAGTGTTATTTATTCATATAGTTAGTCATCTTGTACTACTTCTTATAATGCTTATAATGCTTATTATATTGTGTAAATTGTTTAAGTTTTATAAGTAAGTTTTGTAATATACTGTGTAATGTGGCGCTTTTATTTATCATCAAATTTCCTTTAATACTACTATCTTGGGATTTTATGCCTATCATTAGAAAGATTCCTCTTGATCATTATTTCTCCCGGATAAAATGTGACTGTGGAGTCAGAAGGCTTTTAAGTTGTCTTAGTTTAATGGTTCCTGATACTTATTTAGAGTTTTATGGTTATAAATTTCTTTTACATACATTGTCTCATTCAATGTATCTCATTCACTTTTTCCTTGCCTACCTCCCAGAATGATCATTTACCTTTTAAAAATAGGTGACTATTTTTAGCATCACGGAAATCAATAATTTACTGAGAGAGTTAAATACTAGTAAGTGACAGAATCAGGATTATAACCCAAGTTTTCTGATTCCACACTCTAGGCCTTTTCACTTGTTTTTCCCCCCACAAGTATAAAATGGAAATATGAAGGAATAGTCTATGAAATACAGTATTCAACGCAAAAGCCTTTGTGTAAATTACCCCTCTTGCCTTCTTATGGCTCTACTTTATGTTGTATTTGAAGACAGAGCCACCATGTTCCATCTAAGTTCCAGAGAGGATACTGCATTTAGGGCCTTTTACCAGGTTGTATCCATGCTTACAATTTTTTTAAGTGATAGAGACCTTCCCCACTTTAGGTATTTTCATATCTTGGAAAAATCCAGAAATATGAAAAGCTAATATTTATATTCAAAAGCTGTGCAGATGGGGGCAAGTCAGTTCCACCTGTTTCTTTCTAGAATGATACAATCTAAATTACTAGCCTTCACCCAGTAAGAATTTACCCCAGTTTGGGATGAGGAGGAAATGAGGAGACCTTATTAGGTGATTAGGGGGTGTTTTATGTATGGTTATAACAAGGGTGAGCAGTTTTCTGTCCCCCAAAACCAATATAAGTGACTGGGAATTGGTATTGCCTGCTTGGCAGATGGGGCTAACAGCTTATAACAGAAATTGGTAATCAAGATTACAAGGGCTGCATTTGGCTCTTAGCACTCTCCTTCCTCAAAGGTATTTAAAAGGTTGTATGTGTTCTACATATTCATTAATGGGCTATGATTCATCACCTATTTATAATTTCATTTTGAAATTCTAAGCAAAATATTATTTGGAACTCAAGTCAAAAATGTCAATTTCATCACAATCCTAGTTTTCTTTAGCAAATTCTTCTTCCTATTTTTTTTTTGGTTCCTCATTATAGTTTTCCTTTTTTTACACAAACTGCTGAATATTCCTAGCTTTTTATGTTTGGCATGGGTACTGTTGTAAAGGTATTTTGAATTTATGCAGTTTATGGATGGACTTGCTATCATTTTCTTTGAATTTCTTTTACTAATATAAGAATGTTTTTAAGGAGATGGGTAAGACAGAATGGCTAGTAGCTCAAATGACCTGCTAGTGGATAATCAGGCCACAATAGAAGGCACCAATTATTTTCATAGTATTTAAAAACCGATTCCTATATGTGAATACACATTAGCTGACTTTCTGAAACACAATGAAAAGGCACTTTTTAATTTGAGTAGTTCTTCTTTCCCTTTTTTAAAGTTTTCTCTTACATCTACCACCACTGCCTTTGCCAAGCACAGAGCCTGTGGGCCAATGACACAGGGACTTGTTCTTTCTTATCTATTTAATATCCATAAAGGTGTTAGCTGAGTAAAAGGCTGAAAATATTACTGTGCACAGGAAATATCTTGCCATTTTAAAAGGTGATTCCTAGAAATAAAAAAAAGACTTCAAGTCCACAGTAAAGAATTTTAATGGCAAAATTTGAGTGTAGTGTTTTTTTTTTTTTTTCCTGGAGAGAAAATGGTGGCCAAATATTTGCTTTGTGTTTTTGTCAGAGCCCCCCCCCCCCATTTTTGTCAATGCCCTTGGTGAGCAGGGAGCGTGCGCTTACTTCTGTAGGTAGATTAATTTTGGTCCTTGCATACTGATTTATAGTGACACTTCCACAGTAATTCTAATTGATACGCACAGAGGCAGTGATATGATACAGATGGTTAAGAATCTGTTAAATTTTCAGAACATTCTAAGCTGATCTTTCAAATGTAGCTACTATTAAAAATCAAATTACATCACTTTGAATTAAATAAATTATGTTAAAAACCAACTAACCTCTAAAACATTCCTTCCTAGTTATTTTACTATATTTTACTGTAATCTACACTCTTGAAGTTATTTTATCTATTCTATTCTCTGTAGTAGAAATGTTGTAAATTTTGGTAGCTTAAAATTGGCCATGGTGGGAGTACTTACAGCATGCAAATTGGCAAATGCTCTAAATCTGGGTTAGGTTTAGTGTTCTGTGGATGGTATAACCTTAAAGAAGTAATGGAGATAGTAGAGGATAGGAAAGGCAGCAGAATACAACAGACACTAGTATGGCAATATGTAAATCAATGGATGTGTAACTGATGTGATTCTGCAATCTGTATATGGGGTAAAAATGGGAGTTCATAACCCACTTGAATCAAAGTGTGAAATATGATATATCAAGAACTATGTAATGTTTTGAACAACCAACAATAAAAAATTTAAAAAAAAAGAAGTAATGGAGAAAATGTTAATAATGCAGATTTAATTTAAAACATGTGTGATGGAGAACACTTATGCCTGTGGCCAAAATGGACTGACAAGAACTAAGTTTAACCTTCTACTTGAAACAACCAAAAAAAAAAAAAAACCGAGATAAAGCAGAATATGATGATTTTTCAGAACACTGGACATCAATCAATGAAGAATAGTCATTTTTGAGAAGTGAAAAAAACAGTGAGGAGAACACTATGATTGTCCAAGTTTCCTACTTCAGAAAGGTTCCAGGCCATGGTTCAGGGAGAGAAACTGAGGCAGATTCTAGTATACTTGCTGCCATGAGCAGATAGAGCTAAGAAAGAAACCGAGGCAACTAGAGATCACAGGACATATTAATGGAAAGAAAATTGCATAGAAAGAGAACCCAAAATAACTGCATATGGTTCCCCATAGGTATTAAGAAGAACACTAATCAGTACACTTACATGAGGAGACAACCTGAAGACTGGATGGAACCTTACTTGTTGCTCACACAGAACAAGGATCAGATCCTTTTGTTGCTGGATGGATGGGAAACACTCAGCAATGAAAATGAAAGGCAATGAAAATGCTGGCAAAAATTGTTAAAAGTGACTTTTCTGGAATTCTGGAAATTAACCAAATGGTTGCAACAATCTAAGAAGCATTTAAGCAAGAAAAACAGCTAAATCTTGATAGGAAAAGGAAGTATTGTGACATTTTTACTTTCCCTAGTCCCATATCTACTCTTCAGCTTCATGGTCGCTTTGAAAAACTGTAACCTTATAAATACAATAACTAAAATGTTCAGCATCCTTGTAGCCACTGGAGAGGACAGAATGGGTTTGGACCTACCCAAAGACCTACACCAGACTGTTACTGACCTATCTGGCAAATCTCTGGGAAAGCTGCATTTTC